ATCTGCCTGCCTCTGATTCCTAAGTGCTAGTATTAAAGGTATGTGCTACCAATACCCAGGCTAAATCTTTTTTTAAAATTTTTCACATCAGTTGTCAACTCAGAATTACATAGTATAATCATAAGAGAGGGAAATAAGCATACTAATCAAAAAATGTTAAAGGTCTAATTTGTCTAATAAGTCTAAATTGTTCAGACTCCTTGTTAAGAATTTCTTTTTTTTTTTTTTTTTAAGAATTTCTTAAATATGTTGCTTATTGGTGTTTATTCTGTTTACCTAAATTGAAGCTCTGAGCTGTAACCTCAGTGGAAGGACCAAAGGATGGCCTTGTTTCTGAGCTAAGTTTAATAGTTTTATCTGTTTTTTTTTTTTTTTTACTTCTAATATCACTGTGCTTTTCTAAACTTTACCCTTGCAGGACAGTGAATCTTCTGAGTCTGATGAAGAGCCCAAAAGAGCAAGTGTTAGCTCATGACAGTTCCTTTCCTGCTTTCCTTTTCCTCTAGTTTCTCTTTTTCCAACTAGGCAAAAATGTCAATATTTTAAACTCTACATCTTCTTTTAAAATAATAGTACTTTACATAGAAGAACGGAGGAAACCATGAAGAGGCAATGAAATGGTGTAAAGGATAAAAACAGTATGCAACTGTTACAATAGATCATTTTCCCTCCTCATTTGACCTATCTTCCCCTGCACTACTCATTATCATTTTCTCCAGAGACAACTGACACTTGGAGAGGCCCACTATACAAAACAGGCCAACACTGATGAGAAAATATGATTGTCATTGAGGTGTGAAAGATAAATTATATATAAATTGTTTTTTGCCCAGGCATTTTTGCTTTTTTATTTAAAGCAGTCTTGAATTAGAAGCTCACTTCAAGGTGTCAAAACTAGATGATTGAATAACTTGTCCACAAGGCATGTTAGTTTGTAGGTACTTAAGAGGTAGTTTTTACTTTTTTATGAGGTAGTTGTATTTACTTTATAATTATGTCCTGCTCTTCTAAATGAGTATTGTTCTTCAGGGCTGGACCTTTCACATGAAGGGTTAAACTCCTGTGATGTGATTTTCTAGTTACCTAACCTTGGCAGCTAGGAACAGTGGCTACCTCTCAGGCTTAAAGGAGGACATCTGTTTTCCCAGAACTGGATGTGCAGATGGTTATGAGCCGCCATGTGGGTGTCCTCTGCAGTCCTCTGGAACTCAAACCAGGATCCTCTGCAAGAACAGTCACTGCTCCTAACGACTGAGCCGTCTCTCTAAACTCTCTTTTTACCTTTTCGGTTATTGTTATCAACACAACCCAAAGCTAGAAACAGAACTGCTCTTGCAGGGAAGAGACTTGGTAAATGATGTTGTATTTTATTTAGGAAATTCTATATATTAATAAAGGCTATATTTAAGGGACACTTGTGACATACAATAACATTTCTTAAAATTATTTATTTTTATTTTATGTGCTTTGGTGTTTTGTCTGCGTGTCTGTGTGAGAGTATTGTATCCTGGAGTTACATGTGGATGCTGGGAATTGAACCTAAGTCCACTGGAAGAGAGGTCAGTACTCTTAAAAGCTGAACTGTCTCTTGAGCCCACAATTAACATTTTCAAGGCAACTAGCTAATAAGGAAAAACTCAAAGATTTTTTTCAGTTTCAATACGCTCTGCATTTTAAACTTTTTTCCCCCCAAAACAGGGCTTATCTCCTGGACTTGTTTTGTAAACCAGCCTGGCCTCAAACTCACAGTAATCCACCTGCCTCTGCCTCCTTGAGTGCTGGGATTAAAGGCATGTGCTACCCCAGCTACTCTGTATTTTAAGCCAGTTAATTCTTTGAGATGTGGACAGGGGCTTCTATGCCTTGTAGAATGATTAGCAGCATCTTTGCCTCAACTAAATGCTGTTAACAACATGTCCTCCTCACCTCCAACTGTGACAGCCAAGTATTTTTGAAATTTCAAATGTCCCCTGGGAGGTAAAATGTCCCTTGTTGAAACCCATTGGTTTTTGAGCCTTGCCAGTACAAGTCATGCAAGGGAGAATAAATTATTGTCTTAACCAGTGCTAAAATAGATAACTTTAACAGCTGACACAGAAGTTTTATTTGTAGATAGTAAAAAGAGAAGGTATGCATATTCAAGGGATAAATCTGGAAAAGACTTTTGTCCATTGATGATTTTATAATGGGTAGGTAAATTGGTTTATTGTGTGACTGCCTGTTGTTGTTCAGGAAATAACACGTTTCTCCTTACTAGTTGATCTGGTAAAGGAATCTATGGTAGCCATATCCCTGACAAACAGCAAGATCTTACATAATTGAAAGAATTTTAGGAAAATGAAAATAAAAAAATTGTGACTTTTTAAAATAAATGCTCACTTTTAATAATTTTTTAAATAAAATGCTCACTTAATTGAGAATTGAATCTGTAAGGTGTAGAGTTGATATAAAGTTTAAGACTAGTGATTACAAACTCCCATTTTACATGTTACATGGTAAATGTGTGTGGTAATCAGAATATAAGTTGCAGAATTGGTGGCTTGGAATTCAGCTCCTGTCCATTTCATTGGCTGACTTTTCTTCCAGAACAAATTATTATTACTAATTTTTTACATTTAGTTTGTATGTGTGTGCGCCTGTGTGTGTGTGTGTGCACGTGTGCATGTGTTTACCTACTTGCCACTCCATGGGTAGAGGTCAGAAAACAACTTGGAAGAATCAGATTTTCCAGCATGTGAGTGCCATGTGAACTCAGTTGTCAGGCCTGGGGGAAGAGCACTTACTTGCTGAGCTGTCTTATCAGCCCTATGATAAATTACTTAATCATGCTAAACTTTGGCTTATTCTTTATAATAAGAGAGAAAAATTGGGGGCTGGACAGATGGCTCAGCAGTTAAGAGTGGTTGCTCTTCCCAAGGACCCACATGACAGCTCACACTGATCTGTAGTTCTGGCTCCTGGGGATCTGATGCCCTCACACAGACATATATGCAAGCAAAATATCAATGTATATAAAATAAAAATAAATCCTTTATTATTTATTTATTTTGTTTATTACAATTTATTCACATTGTATCACAGCTGTAGCCCCCTTCCTCGTCCACTCCCACTCCTGCCCTCCTTCCCTCTTCTCTCATACCCCTTCCCCAGTCCACTGATAGGGGAAGTCCTCCTCCCCTTCCAACTGACCCTAGCCTATCAGGTCTCATCAGGACTGGCTGTGTTGTCTTCTTCTGTGACCTGGTGAGGCTACTCTTCCCTCTCAGAGTTAGGTGATCAAAGAGCTAGTCATTTAGTATATGTCAGAGACAGCCCCTGTTCCCCTAACTAGGAAACCCATGTGGAGACTGAACTGCCATGGGCTACATCTGTGTGTTCTAGGTTATCTCCATGCATTGTCCTTGGTTCGAGTATCAGTCTCATACAAGACCTCTGGGCCCAGATTTTTTGCAATAAGGAGGACCCTAGGTAAGATGCTCAGTCCTCATTCAGAAAGGCAAATGGGATGGACATTGGAAGAGGGAGAAAACAGGGAACAGGACAGGAGCCTACCACAGAGGGCCTCTGAAAGACTCTACCCAGAGGATATTGAAGTAGATGCCAAGACTCATAGCCAAACTTTGGACAGAGTGCAGGGAATCTTATGAAAGAAGGGGGAGATAGAAAGACCTAGAGGGGACAGGAGATCCACAAGGAGAGCAACAGAAGCAAAAGTAAATCATTTTTAAAAAGAAAAAAATACCTGTGTTCTGAGATCTTCATTCATCCATTTACTGTGTTTTGGCCTGTTTGGTAAAAGCAGAATATGTCCGTCATTGTTTTAATTTTAACTGAAAATTTGGTTTCATTGCTAGGACTTACAAATTTCAAGCTGTTTTGCCTCACTTCATGAGTATATATTTATGTTGTTTTATGAGTATATATTTAAGTTATTTTTATTGTTATCAGTTGCTTGGATCTTTGTTGTTAAAAGGACAGCATTTCAAAGCAACTCGAGAGTATATGTCTACAAGCACTTATTGTGGATGCTTTGATAATTTGAATGAAGCTGCATATCTGTTTCAGATACTGTACTAAACTCCTTTGTCCAGTGCTTGAGATTCTTAATTTGTTGGGCTTGTTTTTTGGGACAAGGTTTCTCTGTGTCGCCTTGGCTGTGCTGGACTCCCTTTGTAGACCACGCTGGCCTCAAACTCATAGAGATCCACCTGCTTCTGCCTCCCTGAGTGCTGGGATTAAAGGCGTACACCACAGTATATTTCATTGGGCTTTTATCCTGACATTTACCTGTAACTGACATCATAGTCCTACTAGGAAAGAAAACAGCCCCCAGGTCTTTTGGGAGCCAAGGGAGCTTGAACTGATCATCTTAGTCATATGCCATGTACTCAGTCTTTCTCTCTTTCTCTCCCCCTTTTCCCCTTCCTTTCTCTATCTCTCTCCATCTCTCTTCCTCCCCCCACCCTCCAACGCCCCTTTTAAGACTGGTCTCAGTAGCCCAGGATGACCTTGAATTTACTCAATAGCAGAGGTTGACCTTAAGCCCTTCTGCCTCCATCATGGGGTTTCAAACATGTGCTATTGCGCCCAGGTCTGTCTCTGTACTGGGCCTCCAAGAGCTGAGATTCTTCTCAAAAGCTGATTACATTTTCTTGGTTTCAGTAGAGTGGACCCTACATTACATGTCTTTCTTTTCTTTGCTTTGCTTTGCTTTGCTTTGCTTTTCTTTGCTTTTCTTTCCCTTCCCTTCCCTTCCCTTCCCTCCCCTCCCCTCCCCTCCCCTCCCCTCCCCTCCTCCTCCTCCTCCTCCTCCTCCTCCTCTTCTCTTCTCTTCTTTTTTCTTTCTAACCCCAAATTCATTAGAGTATCCGTGGAAGAGTCTTACGTCTTCTATTCATTGCTGTTCAAAGTTCTTTATCTGTTTTTAAGTGTCAGTGTCTAAATGTCAAACCAGAGGTTGCTTATTTTCTTTCTTTCTTTTTTTTTTTTTTTCTTTCTAGGCGGAAAAACTGATGAAGCAAATTGGTGTGAAAAATGTGAAGCTTTCAGAATATGAAATGAGTATTGCTGCTCATCTAGTAGACCCTCTTAATATGCATGTATGTATCTTTAATCTTGCTTTTTTCACTGTTACCTTTTTTTTTTTTTTGGCCTGGCAGTCTATGTCAAAAGACGTGGAAGATTATGACCAATTTTAATGTATCTCTAGGAGGAGTTAGGAGGGACTCACAGCATGGTTGCAGGCACAGATGTAATTCATTGCACTAAGTTAATATACAAGGGAGAGCAGCATAGAAAGAGGGACTAGAACAGAGCCAGGAGAGAGCCAGCCACACTTTTGTCAGAGTGCTTCCCAAGCACTGTCACAAGACCATATTCAGTGCTGTATCAAGTTGTGATTGCACCTGCAGTGTCGGCACCAGAAAGATTCCTGGAGACAGAACCAGTGAAAACCTGTTTATATAGACTCCTTTTCCATGTATGGATCAGAAATCTGTACTCCTACAAGGTTTTCTCCATAAACCATATTGTTAATGCAGCTTAAGCACTGTGAGCTGTTCTTGTCAAGGATTGGTAGGAAAATTCCCCAAATGTAAGTTTCCAGAGAGCAGTCAAGGATCAGCTTGTTAAAGATGCCGTCTCAGGTCTGCTGTGTTCACCTGCACACATAGGCTTAGTGAAATGTGAGCTCTATATGAAACTTCTTTAAGCCGTCTGGTTTTTGATTGTAGAATTTAATCTAGATTTCCTAATTTCTTTCTTTTTTAGTAGTAGACAGCATAGGATCCTGAATCCCAGGTGTTCTAAGAATTCAGGGTCTCTGCAGATGATTTCTTCTGTTTCAGATTTCTCATGTGTTAGCCTCAAGGAGAATATAATAATATTTGTGTGCCTACTTGTTAAATTTTTTGAGGATCAGATTAATATAAATTACATATTTAATATAGTTATATTTATAATTCAGGTTACTATATGAATGTAGCAATAAGTATACAGTATAGTTATCTAACACATTAATGCTATGTTGGTATAAATATGTGGAATGAAATATGATGGTTCCATCTCTAAGTCTGGAAAATAAAAATATTGTCTTTTAATATATATATGTGCAGAAATATATATATACATACACACACACACTCTAGAATTAAGCCCCTACTTTATTTTTACTTAGATATTCACAGTGTCAGCATTTTGTTGGAAAGGAGGGCAATTGTTTTTGTTTCTTAATAAGGATGTATTAATAGACATTAATTAATAGACAAGTTTAAAGAAAGTAAATACATTGTAAAGTGTTGCCTCTAACCTGATCATTTAGTTTTCTCTCTCTCTTTCTCGTTTTTTCCCCCTCTCTCTCGGTTTTTCTTCCTTTTGGGTGTGTGTATGTGTGGTGCTGGGGATTGAATTTAGAGCCTCATATCTAAGTTCTCAGTAAGGAGTTCTAACCACAAGCTGGATCCCAAGCTCTCCCCATAAGTTATTTTATTTTTACTTCTTTATGTATTTGTTTTATGTGCATTAGTGTTCTCCTTGCATGTATTTCTGTGCATCACATACTTCCATAGTGCCTTGAGAGGCACTATGCCCTGGAGCTGGAGTTATAGACAGTTGGGAACTGCCTGCCATGTTGGTTCTAGGAATCCAGCCTGGGTCCCCTGGGAGGTTAGCCAGTGCTCTTAACTGCTGAGCCATGTCTCCAGCACACACTCTGACCCCACTCCCATTTAAAGTTAAATTTAGAAGATTCTTCTTTTTTTTTTTTTTTTAATGGATTTTTTGGGGGGTGGAGGTGAGGGTCAAAACAGGGTTTCTCTGTGTAGAACCTGCTGGCATGGAATTCCCTGTGTAGACCCAGCTGGCTTTGAATTCAGAGCTCTACCTGCCTCTGCCTCCCGAGTGCAGGGATTAATGGCTTAGAAGGTTTCTCTATACTATTTAAAAATTTTAAAAAAATCTATCTATCTATATATCTATTGATAGATTTTACAAAATATATATATATAGATTAAAAATAGAGAAACACATACACACACACATACCTGCTTAGGACTTACTAAGATTCCTCATGTTTTTACATTTTGTTTACTTATTTTTTGTATGTGTTTACTTATGGTGTGAGTTCATGTGTTCATATGTCTTTGCATGTGTGTGTGAACATGAGTGAGGGTATGTGTATACATAGGTGTAGAGGGTCAGAGGTTGACACCAGGTGGCTTTAATCACTTTCTACTTTATTTGTTAAGACAGTGGTCTCTGGCATGTGGGTCTGGCTAAGTGTAGCTCTCCAGCTTTTTCCCAGGAGCCTCCCTCCATCTCCTAAATGCTGGGATTACAGGCCGCTACGTCAGCCTGCCTTTCTGTGGATTCTAGGGATCTGAGCTCCTGCTCTCAGGCTTACCTGGCAAGTACTGCTTGCCGTCTTCCCCAGCTCAACAGTTGTACTTTTCAGGAAAAAAATACAAGTGCAATTTGGTGGGTATACATCCTATTTCTAACACTAATTCCTGTTGTTTCACAATGAATGTAATTACATTCCCTGTGAGTTCTTCCCTGGTAGCCAGTGCTACAGTATTTGTGTAAGTTTATTCACAGTCTTCCTTTGTTCTCAGTATTTCCTATGAGTGGAATGAGTTTGCCTTATTCAGTTACAGATTTTGTATATGTTGTGCTTCTTGTTTTCCTGTTGCTGGAATTGAACCCAGCAACAGGGCCTGTTATCCTAGGCAAGCTCTCATACTACTTAGCAATGCTCGCAGCCTTGGTGCTTTTTCTGGTAGTAAGAAATTAAATTCTTTTTATCAGTGTCATAGAGTTTATTAATTTAGTTATTCCCATTAAAAATTTTTATTCATTTTTATCTCCACTTTAACCTTTTATAATAATACATGTATTATAATAATTATAATAATTAACATGTTAATAATTACATGTTAATTGTTATAACATGTTATAATTATTAGATCTTATAATGATTTGCCATTGGGAGGTGTGCGTATAAGTTGTAAAATTCATGTTGACTTTAACTTTTACCAGGTTACTTGGAGTGATATAGCAGGTTTAGATGATGTCATTACAGATCTGAAAGACACAGTAATCTTACCTATCAAAAAGAAGCATTTGTTTGAGAATTCCAGGCTTCTGCAGCCTCCAAAAGGTATGTTTAGTATATGTGTTTGCCTAAGCAGTAGGGGGCGAGAAAACATTAAATGTTTTTGCCTTTAGGAATTTGCCTTCCATGAATTTTAAAACATTCACTTATTCTTCCACTTCTGAAATTTTGGTGAATTGTACTTCCTATAGTACTTCTGTACAATAATCCTTTTATTTGAAATGCTCGTCTTACAAGTAAATTGAAATTGGAAAATTAAGTCTTAAAAAATTTCCAGAAAACCCCACAGTATTCTTTTGGTTGTTTTCAAGCAAAGCCAGCAATATTGGAACTTCCAAGAAGCTCTCAGTTTATTTCATCATATGCTGCCTGTAGACATCATTTCTGAATTATTACTGTGTGAGAAAAATTGAGCTTTAAATTAGGTATTTAAAACTGGATTATAGTTCCAAACCTATATGTAGATAGTTTTAGTGCTGATCAGAAAATGCTTTGCCTTTTAACTGAGATACAGTAATGATCGCCAAAATGTTTAAGACTATAACCTATTAAGATCTTTTGTTATGTTAAAATATTAACCACCTTATTTTGTATTTAGGGACAGATTACTGTTTACCGACAGTAAACATTATAGAGGATAATGCAGTTTTATCCTTTAGAAATTAAAATTATAGTGTTTTTTTTTTTTTTTTTTTTGAGAGGAAAGACATGAGTGTGAGCATTGGCAAATGTGTTTGCCAAAGTCATTTTGGAAGTTGCCTGTTACCTAGAGGTTATTATCGGATGCTGTGGTGCTCTCTCAGCTTGTGAAGGCAGAGGGTGTTAAGATGATTTTATTGGTCAGCCTGTGACAAAGATAATAGTTTTTAGGATCTTGACTTGGACCTTTGCATAAGAAAAAAAGTACTGTGATGCTGTTATCTGCAAATACCTATCCTGGCTGACACTGAACTTAAACACCATTTTTTTTTAACTACCTTTTCTACTGTTAAAATTTGAGAAAATTTTATTGTGTATGAAATTAGTTCTATGTTGATTAGCATGCAAACTAAAGAAAACCTCTTATTTTCTTGAAAATAATAATATAAAATGACATTGATTTTCAGGTGTTCTTCTGTATGGACCTCCAGGCTGTGGGAAAACGTTAATTGCCAAAGCTACAGCTAAAGAAGCAGGCTGTCGATTTATTAACCTTCAGCCTTCGACACTGACTGATAAGTGGTATGGAGAATCTCAGAAACTGGCTGCTGCTGTTTTCTCCCTTGCCATAAAGTTACAGCCTTCTATCATATTTATAGATGAAATAGGTATGCTTTTTGCTATGTGAGCATTTTAAAAAGCCATTTAAAGGTGCAATGTAGAGAACCAGATTTGAGTATTTTTCTAATCTATGGTAAACCAAAAAAATGTTCTTTTTTCTTTTTAAGATTTATTTATTCATGTATTTTTACATGTAAGTGCTCTGTCTTTATGCACATCAGAAGAGGGTATCAGATCCCATTACAGATGGTTGTGAGCCACTATGTGGTTGCTGGGAATTGAACTCAGGACCTCTGGAAGAGCAGCCAAGTGCTCTTAACCACTGAGCCATCTCTCCAGCCCCAAGATTTGTTCTTTTTAAGAATTTGTATGGGTAAATGTGCCATTGCACACATGTACAGGTCAGAAGACAGCTTGGTAGAGTTGGTTCTTCCACGTTTACACAGGACTGGAGGATCAGACTCAAGCCAACAGGCTTGTGCAGTCATAGCCTTTACCTCTGAGCCATCTTGCTAGCTGCAAGAGATATGTTTTAGTAGGCCATGTGTAATTTCCATGATGTAAAATGGATCATAGTTTATTTATTTTATTTGATTAATGGATATATTTTCTAGATTTCAAATAGTATGTGTGTTGTAGACATACACATGTGAATATTTTTGCATGCTTATGATCATCTGTGGTAAATATCCTAAGCTAAACATCCTTCAACCTTGGAATTTCTTGTTCTTGAAATGTTACACTAAACTGGGAGAGGGCAGGGTGAATGGCTGCAATCCCAGAACTGGGGAGACTAATAGAAGAATCAAGAAATTGTGTTTCTTTTTTTCTTTTTCACAAGTATTGTGGGGTAGGAATTTAATTTCATTCTTTTTCATTTAGTCAATTTAGGGGGAAAAAAAAGACCTTTTTTTTTTTGTTGTTGTTTTGAGACTGGGTTTCTTTGTCTAGTCCCGGCTGTCCTTTCTCACTTAGTAGACCACTCGATGACTGCTTTACCTTTCATCCTTTTATGTCCCGAATTTCAGTGGACTCTAAATTTTGCAGTTCATCAGTATTTTTGTTTTTGGTAAAAATAAATGATTATGGGGCTGTAGAGATGACCCACTATTTAAGAGTACTTGCTACTTGTCCAGAGGACCTGAGTTCGGCTTCCAGCATCCATGTCAGGTAGCTTACAGCTATCTGTAACTGCAGGCAATCCGCACCCTCTTCTAGCCTTTGTAGGTACCCACATGTGTGGCCTACACATAAGTAAATGCAAGTAAATTTTCAACTTCTTAGTAAAAAGATGCTCTTTATTTCTTTTTTGATTTTTCAAAACAAGGTTTCTCTTTGTAACAGCCCTGGCTGTCCTAGAACTCACTCTGTAGACCAGGCTGTCCTCGAACTCACAGAACTCCTTCTGCCTCCGAGTGTTGTGACTAAATGAGTGTCACCACACCCGAACTAAAAATATATTCTTATCTTGTTTAATTAAAGCTTTTACATGTAGCTTATTGCCAAATTATGTATTTTTATGTAGTATGATAGGCTAGATAAACCCAGAGAGGTCCAAGGATTTAGTTTAGTGATAGAGAGCTTACCTAGTCTCCAGTACTGAAAACAAAACAAAAAAACAGGTTTAAAAAAAAAGTTGGAGTGTTGGCTTAGCTATTGAGTGGTTGCTACTCTTCTAGATGACCCAAGTTTGGTTTTCAATGCATACCTTGGATGTACTTTTAATTTCAGGGGATCTGATGAATTCTTCTGGCATTTGCAGCCACCCGTAGTGTGTGTGTGTGTGTGTGTGTGTGTGTGTCTCACATATACATATACACACTTAATCTCTTCAAATATGTATGTAAAGAGAAAAAGGTTCCTAGTATGTTTCAATTTGCATATATAATCTCCTTAGTTTATTCTTTCAACTCATTCAATCAAGTGTATCTTGATTGAACAAAAAATCCAACCTTATAGTTGGACTTTAAACTTTAAACCATAACTTCCTTTTAACTGGAAAGTGTCTAGTTTGCATTTGTTATATATAGTCACATTTATTTCAGTTTTATAATCTCTTCCCTTTTGTTTACCAGGCTGTTAGGTAACTTCCTACCACCCTTAGAATTTTCCTTTTCCTTCTACACATTTGAAGTTATTTATTCTTTTTCTTTCTCCCTTGTTTTTTGTTTGTTTGTTTTGTTTTGTCTTTTGATTTTGTAGACAAGGTTTCTCGGAATAGTCTTGGCTGTCCTGGAGCTCACTCTGTAGCCCAGGCTGGCCTGGAACTCACAGAGATCTGCCTCTGCCTCTGCCTCCTGAGTGCTGGGGTTAAAGGTGTGTGCCATCACCACCTGGCCATTCTTTTTCTTGTATTGAAACAATTTACATACCTGCTTATCCTAAAAAGCCTAAAGCTTCCTAAGAATGATGACTCACACTAGTAATCACTGTACTTAAGAAGTTGAGACTCCTAGAGGAGGCAGAGGGCAAGTGGATCTCTGTGAGTTTGAGGCCAGCCTGGTCTATAAAGTGAGTCCAGGACAGCCAAGGCTACAGAGAAACCCTGTCTGGAAAAACCAAAAATTAAAACAAAACAAAAACGGAAGACAAAACAAAAAGAAAAGAATCCAAAATCTTATGTTCAGACACATACACACACTGATGCTTGATTACAATTACCATCTGCAAAACTTCTTGATCAAGTGTTCAGATCTTGCCCACTTTTAAAGTTAAGTTGTTCAGCTTATTTTTGGATTTTAAGTGTTCATTTTATGTTTTAAATAGAAGTTCTGTTAGGTAAATGTTTTTCAAATACTTTTTCTAGTCAGTGGTTTTTCTGTAAACAGCATCCTTTTTTGTTTGTTTATTTATTTTGTTTTGTGACCGGCTTTCCTGGTGTAGCCCTGTCCTTGGAACTTGTTTTGGTTTTCAGCTCACAGAGATCTGCCTGCCTCTGCTACCCAGTAGCTGGGATTAAAGGTGCACACCACCACCCAGCAATAGTATCCTTTAAAAAAAGAAATCATGCTTTGGACGTTATATGTAAAAGCAGTCACCAAAACTAATGTCACATGACAATTTTTTTTCTGCATTATTGTTTTTGAGTCTACGAGTGAGACATGGGCTCTTTAGCATGTCTAGGCAAATGTTCTGTTTCTAGACTAGAGAATATGTATTTGACATACTCTTGTCCTGTTGTTGAAACATTATTTGTCAGATACACACTAACTTTATTTTATGTATATGAGTGCTGTATCTGCATGTACACTTGCATGCCAGAAGAGGGCATCGGATTCCATTACACATGGTTCTAAGCCACCATGTGGTTGCTGGGAATTAAACTAAGCCACCATGTGGTTGCTGGAAATTGAACTCAGGACTTCTGGAAGAGCAATCAGTGCTCTTAACCTCAGAGCCATCTCTCCAGCCCCACGTTAGCTTTCTTAAAAATACTTTATTCAAGCCAAGTGTGGCAGTGCCTGCCTGTGGTTCTAGGACGTTAGAGGTAGTGATAGGATCAGAAGTTCAGGGCCATCTTCAGCTACACTGCAAGTTCCAGGCCAACTTGAGCTTATGTAAGAACGTGCCTTGGAAACATATATATGTCTTGCTTTCAGTCTCTTTCTATTCTCCTCTTTTTTTTTTTTTTTTTTCTCTTCTACGATGCAGTCTTTCCCAGGCATATCTGAAACTCAGTCTATAATACTAGGATTACAGGAGTGAGCCACCATACCCTGATTGTCCATTGTTTTTTTTTTTTTTTTTTTTGGTTGTTGTTATTGTTAGTATTTTTGTATCTTTTTCTGTCTTGTTACTATTTCAAATCATTGCTATTTAGTGTGCCTCTTGTAAGCAACATATAGTTTCTAGTCTATTTATATTGAGCGCAATTCCTGATGTAGCTATGTTTATGGAACATTGTGGGGTTTTAATACTATTTTAAACAGTTATCTTGCAAGCACTGCTTTTTGATAGTATAGATAATTAAAAAAGGTTAAATTAAGCATATGAATTTAAAAAAAAGTAACTAGACTTTATCCAGTATAGGTGTTAGTCAGATTCACAGTCCTATGATGATAAAGCTTGTGTAAAATTAGAAGCATCCAGAATATATGTATGCAGGACTATCTTGTCAAAGAAAAACATAGTTTTTGGAATTACTTTGTTGTTGTTTTGGTTTTGTAATGTTTTTTATGGGAGCCCTATATCTTTGGCCATCCTGGAACTCACAGTAGAGATTCCAAGCTGACCTTGAAAGTTACTATTCTGTTGCCTCAGCCTCTTAAAGGTGTGCACTACCATGCCTTATTCTCTTGGAACTTTTAATTTTCTTTTTCTGTTTTTTAAGCTTTGACCTAATACACTGTAGCACATTTTTAAGCCACTTTCATATATAAATGGTAAATTTTCATCTGTAGATTCAATGCAAAGACCTGGTAGTTATTTAATAAAGCTGCTGATTTATTATATGGCTAAACAAAGCACTTGAAATAAGGATTGTACTAGAAAATAGAAGACTTACTTTTACTATTGATTTATTTTCTTTCTTAGGATGTAGTACTTTTTAATCTTTTGGTGTTCTAAAAGAAACTTCTTTCTTTTTTTTCTTCCTAGCTTTTTGAGATGATTTTACTCTGTTCCCTTGCTGAACTAGAATGCACAGTGTAGCCCAGACTGGCCTTGAACTGGCAATTCTCCTGTCTTAGCCTCCTGAGTGCTGGGTTACATGTGTGAACCACCTTGTTTGATTTTTATCTTTTAAGAAAGCATTTTATGATAAGCTCTTTATTTGAAGGTAGAAAATAGTTTTAAAGGGAATGTTAAATTGTCCTGAAGGAACCAGTTTCTACACTTTTTTCATTTAAGGCTTTTTATTATGTATGCATGTATATACATGCATGCTAGCACATGTGTTACAAAACATTTTCTGCATTACAGTTTTTTCTTTAATATTATTTTAGGCAATTCCTCTTTTTGTTTATTACCAAGAGAGTGTAAGGAGGGAAAAGTATATGAAAGTATATAATTATAGGTAATTAAGAGCATGCAGGGTTCAAGTAACTGGAAAAGTAGGGGCACACACTCAGGTTCTCCTCCAGGACTCTACGTGGCCCTTGTCTAGCCTCTCATGTTAAGCTTTGACCAATATACTGTAGTACATTCTCTTGTTAGAACCTTTGTGTTCTATATCTCCTCTGTAGAAATGTATTTTGGGGATAGAGAAATTATGAACTGAGTTGAGTGTCTTCTAAGGTGCTTAGTAATTTACCAAGATTGTTTTGTTGTTTTTTTTTGTTTGTTTGTTTAATGAGGATAATACCTGAATAGCATAAATAATACCAACCCTCTTGTTTTATGAAATTGACATTTTTATTTTAAATTATGCAATGAACAAATAATCCATCATTAGTTACTGAAAGTAAGGAATGTTTTCTTAACCACTGAGCCAACTCTCAAGCTCAAGGACTGTTTTCTTTTAGACTCTTTTCTACGAAATCGTTCAAGTTCTGACCATGAAGCTACAGCGATGATGAAAGCTCAGTTTATGAGTCTCTGGGATGGACTGGATACTGATCACAGCTGCCAGGTATTTGAATGAAGTCTTCCTTAAACTTGTATGGTTTTACTGGGCTGCTTACTGCACTTTTGTATAAAAGTCTTTTCATTATTTTTATATTCAGTGTTAACTAAAAAGGAGCCAAAAGACATAATTTTGTTATAAACTTCACCTATTTTAATGATTACATCAGATTTATGTAACTGGAGGAGCCCACACTCCCTAGATAGTTGCTGTTGTGTGATTCTGAACCTCAGAGTACATCTAGTCAACAATGATACATGTTTGCATCTATTACTGCTTCATCAATGGTCATGTTGCTCTGTGTAGAATAGATTTTTGAAAGAGGAGAACACAAAATTGAAATGAAGAGAAATGAGGCAACAGGAGTAGTCTTAACTGTTTATATTGCAAATAGAAGCCAAGCTGAACTTGGGTCATTTCTGGTGAAGGTTTGTGTGAAACAAAATACTGTAATTTGATCCTCTGGAGTCACCCATATGTCTTATTTATGTCTAATAAGATACTAATAAAATGCCTTAATACTAGATACAAATGCAGCCCTGCAGTCCCATGCAGCGATGGGACCACTGATGAGAACAGAACCTGCAGTGCATGGTGGCCTGTACCTGTAGTCCCAGCTATACAGGAAGAGGAGACGGAAAGTGTAAAGGTTTAAAGCCAGTCAGAGCAACATTGTGGGGTCTTACTTCACACAAAACCTGGACATTTTTCCAACCGTAACCAATTACATAATTTTGCTGCCATATTTTTCCCCCATAAACACTGACTTCTGACAGATTCACTCCCATAATACTGAATATTTTCTGCTTAGTGTTCCTAGTTCATCTTTTTCTTTCTCCTCAAATAAGATATTCTTAAAAAACAAATTATAATATTGGGGAAGAGAGATGGCTTAGCAGTTATGTATGAGGACCCAGGTTCAGTTCCTAGCATTCATGTAGTGCCTCACATAACTACAATTGCAGCATATTCAGTAGGCATGCAAGGCGGTGCACATAAATGCATTCAGGCAAAGCATTCATCACATAAAATGAAGCCTGATGCTGTGGGCCATGCCTATAATTCAAGCACTCTGGGAGGCAGAGGCAGGCAGATCTCTATGAGTCAAGGCCAGCCTGGTCTACGAAGTGAGTCCAGGACAGTCAAGGCTACACAGAAAAACCCTGTCTCAAAGAAAAAGAAAGAAGAAAAGAATAAATAAAATGAATCTTAAAAAAATGTTTTTAAGACAGAAATTTAGGGGGGCTGGAGAGATGGCTCAGAAATTAAGAGCACTGCCTGCTCTTTCAAAGGTCCTAAGTTCACAAAGATCTATAATGAGATCTGATAGCCTCTTCTGGTGTGCAGCTCTGCATGCAGGCAGAACACTGCACACATAATAAAATAAATAAATGAATAAATAAATAAATAAATCTTTCTTAAAAAGACAAATTTAGTTAATGATCATTGTTGATTTCACTTTCACAAGTGGTAGGCTATATGTTGAAGCATCTTCCTCTAATTCCAGCTTTGAGAAGGTAGGAACAGGAGGATTTCAAAAGTTAAGGCTAGCCTAGATTACATGGTAAGATCCTGTCTCAGAACAAAACAAAATCGGCTAGCATAAGCATAAGAACCACAAGCCTGTGATTCCAGTGTTTAGGAAGCTGAGGCAGGGAGATCCCCAGTTCGAACCAGCCTTTCACAGTTAGGCCTATCTGGAAAAACCAAGGACTAGGAATGTAGTTCAGTATTTACTTAGCATACCCTGAGTTCAGTCTCTAGCATTGCAACACAAAACTAAAAAGAACAAGTAAAATTTCACCTACTCTGAGGGTTTTATGTCTAATATACTAATAAAATGTCTTAATACTAGATACAAATACAGTGGAAGAGGGGGAAAAAAAAAACTACTATAAAGTCAAGATGACGGACTCTTTGTCATCTAGTCTGGCTTTGAACTTTAAATCCTTTGTTTCCTGAGGTCAGAAAGTACAGGCACATGCCACTACATACTTTCTTTCAGTGCAGACATATTCAAGATTTATCGATGGTACTTGGCTGCAAGTTACGAAGTCTCAGGAGTTATGTGTGCCTGTGTATATGTTTTTAATTTAGAGGATCCTGATTTAGTGTGGGAGTGTACATGGTACAGCATGCATGTGGAGGTACCAGGATTCTAACTCAGGTCCTCAAGCTCAATGACAAGTGCCCTTACTGCTAAACCATTTGACTAGCCCTGCACGTGTCTTTGCTACCGAAGAGTCAAGGCCTGTTGTCTAATGAATGGGTTTTCAAACTTAAGCATTTTTCTCATGAGTCATGGTCTTACGTAGCCATTTCTCATAAGATTCTCTGACTCATACAATGTCTGAGGTGCACATTAAATAAATAAATGTATCTAATATCACACAAGTCTTTTAATGTAACTATATTACCATAAATCAGAAGTTAGAACCATATCATTCTCAAGAAATGAAATCACATGTACTCCCTTTTCGTCATCTCTTTGAAATACAGTTTTATGATGAGAGGAACAGCCTTTTAGTTCGTATAATGCCTAGAGAAGAAATCACATTGTAAATGTGGGTAACATTTATAGACACATTTTCTATTAATAATTGGCTCTAACAATTGTGTAAGATTGTTGTAGGCCAGTGGTGCATTACTGTAATCTCAGCACTTAGAATGCTGAAGCAAGAGAATCACTACAGTTTGATGCCTGCCTGAGAGAGTTTCAGTCAGTCATATCTGCATTATAAGACCCTGTCCTAATAATACCTCGGAGGTAGGTGGGTCTTTAAGAGTTAGAGGCCAAGCCTGTCTATATAGTGACCTCCAAGTCAGCAAAGGCTACGGAGAGACCCTGTCTCCCCCCAAAAATAAAGTGTACGGTTTATTAATGGAAATTCCTTATAAGCTGCCCATAATTAATTTCCTAAATAATGATGTTTAATGTGTTTAAATGGTTGGATAGTTAGGCTACGTAAGAGAGGATAAGTTGGTATTACACCTTTCAGAGCATGGCACTTAGTTCTTTAAAGCAGAGGATACAGAGGCAATTGATGAATGTCAGCGTCATTCATGCCGAGCTCCTCAGAGCTCTGGTGGTTTCTGGTGTAGCATTTTAGTTTGCAGAACCACAGTTCTTTTTTCACAAGTAGCATTTACTATTTTCATTAAGATGTGTTTTGCTTTGAGGAGGGAAGTGAAGGTGTTGCTCATTCTTTTTTTGTTGTTGTATGTTAAAAGGGTGAAAATTTATATTTATAATTTTAAATCAGAGTTTTGGGTGTATTCTGTATTCATGGACCAGTTAGTTTTTCTTTCAGATTACCTTTTCAGTGACTGTTGATAGTGCTCAAACCTTAGATAATTTTCTTGCAAGCATGTGATCACAAAAGAAACAAAATAGCAAATGATCAATGAATCCTGTCATGACAACTGGGCACCTGAGCAACTAATGACACATTCTTCTTTTTTAGAGAAGTGAGACATAAAAAATAATGGTGCTTTTAATATCTCCATCAGTAAATATTTGAGGATTCGCTTATTTAAGGATTTCTATCTAATCTCTTTTTCTATCTATCTATGAGTACTCTTATTTTCATGTATGCCTGTGTGATAGAAGAGGGTATCAAATCTCCTAGGTGATTGATTGTGAGCCACCATATAGTTGCTGTGAATTGAACTCAGGTTCTCTGAAAGAGCACCCAGTGCTCTTAACCACTGAGCCATCTCTTTAGCCACTAAATTTACTTATTTTAAATACTAAATAATAAAATTATTTCCATACTTTAAGAAATTAAAAAAATTTTAACAACCATTTTTTAGATTTTGTTGCTTAAATATTAAAGCTATTGTTTCTGAATTAACTCATTTATTTAATTCATAAGTTATTTAATACATGTGAAAGTTCTCTTCAAAAGCACTCCTTAAGAGGGAAGTTGGGGTCCTGGGGGAGGGGAAGGAGGGGAAGCTGTAGTTGGGATGCAGTATATAGGAAAGAAGAATAAAAATTTTAAAAAGCATTCCTTAATATTTTAAACTAACCATAAATAGTTTCTGTTTTTATCACGAGTACCTATTATATACATTTATTAGGCTATTTTAGCTAGATTAATTTCAATTCCTTAACTTTGTTTTTAGCACTTTACCTTTCATACTGTGATCTTTATTTCAGGCTTCTTTGTTTATCAGAATTTATCCAAAAGTGTAGCTAACTTAGCTCACTTTTCAAGGTTTTGCTTTTGTGTCTCCTTTCTAGAACATTGCCTTAGATATACATGTTACATTTTGTGTCTCCTTTTTAGAACATTGCCTTAGACAGCACAAAAAGCTTTGTTCAGTATTAATTCACATTCTTCCCAACAGTGTATCAAAGTACCCTTACATGTTTTTGTTGTTTTGTTTTAAATGAGGCAGGGTCTCACTGTGTAGCTCTGGTTGGTCTAGTACTCACTGTGTAGACCAGGCTAGTTTTGAACTCAGAGATCTGCTTGCCTTTATGTCCTGCATGCTAGGGTCAAAAGTTTATACTACCATGACCAGCTCCTTGTACTTTTTTGTCTTATTGTATTATTAGCTCTTTAAGTCATTTTAAGCCTTCTTTTACATTTGATAGACATTTAATTTTTTTATCATTTTAATCAAAGAAATTGTAGGAAATCAAAGAAAAATGAATAGGAGCATTAAGATTTTGTTTGATTCATACACGTCAATTGCATAATACAGAACTTAAATATATATTTGTACTTACATTTCCCTCCTCTAGATGGCAGACTTGATCAATTAACAATAATTTTGCTCTGTGATTTTTGATTAAATGTAAAGAGCAGATGAATTGACTCATTAAATGTAAAGAGTAAAAATAGAATATAAAATTTGGTGGATATTTTAATTTGCTCTAGAATTTTTTGAGAAATCTGAAACTGTCAGACAGAAATAAAGTGATACTGGATAAATATATTCCTATATAATAATAGCAAATTAAGCTTGTATAGCAAGTGTGTGATGTCATTAAGAAATTTTCACCAAGTGTGGTGGTGGATGTCTTTTATCCAACTACTAGGAAGTAGAGGCAGGTAGATCTCTGAGAGTTTGAGGCCAGTCAGAGTTCCAGGACAGCCAGAAGTACATAATGATATCCTGTTTAAAAAAAAAAAAATTTTTTTTTCTTGTTTTTAATATTTGTCTTTATTTCTATTTTTTAATTGTTTTTTGTTATTATTAAACTTTTACAATTTTTTTATGTGCATTGGTGTTTTGTCTACATGTTTGTCTATGTAAGGATGTCAGATTATCTGTAACTGGAGCTGCAGACAGTTGTGAGCTGCCACGTGGGGACTGGGAATTGAACCTAGGTTCTCTGGAAGAGCACCCAGTGCTCTTAACTGCTAAGCCTCTAAAATTGTTTTTTTCATTTCTGCATCTTTTATAAGTAAGCAACATATACTTAGAAGTTGGTAGGGCCAACAGCGTAATTTTCTCTCTTAAAGTTCAGCCTCTGCCTCTGTTTTCAAAGCTTCCATTGTTTCTGAGGGTTCCGGGGTTGGTCGCAGAGCCTAACATATGCTAGGCAAGCACTCTGTTCCTGAGTTGCCCCACAACTCCTCCCCAGGAGTTTGAGGTTTGCTTTTACCAGCTTTTGCTCAAAGATGCACTCTATTACAGTTTTAGATTTAGCATAGCACCCATAGAGCTGGCAGTACAGTGAGATGATGATGTGAAATCTAGGTGGAAAAACACCTAATATATATCACTGCCATCAGAATCTTCATACTTACGGAGAACTGTTTTTGTTTTTTCATAACATTATGAATAAAGGAATTCTTTTACTCATACTCCCAAAAATGTATTCATGTAATAAGGAACCATATATATATTTTAAAGATATATTTATTTTTATTTTATGTGCATTGGTGTTTTGCCTGTATGAATTTCTGTATGAGGTTGTCAGATTCCCCTGGAACTGAAGTTACAGATGGCCATGTGGGTGCTGGAAATTGAACCCAGATTTTCTGGAAGAGCAGCCTGTGCTCTTAACCACTGAGCCATCTCTTCAGCCCAACTAACCATATTTTGTAAAGTACAAATCATTTTAACATTTTTATAATTCTTTGCTATAAGTACCCATTGATCATATTTTGTGAAATTTTTTTTTTTTAAGATTTATTTATTTTATATATACGAGTGCTCTATCTGCATGTGTGCCTGCATGCCAGAAGAGGGCATCAAATTACAATATAGATGGTTGTGAGCCACCATGTGGTTGCCTGGAACTGAACTCAGGACCTCTGGAAGAATGGACAGTGCTCTTAACCTCTGCGCCATCTCTCCAGCCCCAGTTACATGCTTTTTAAAAACTATACATCAATATGGGGGCTGGAGAGATAGCTCAGTGGTTAAGAACACTTTCTGCTCTTTCAGAGGTACTGAGTTCAATTCCCAGCAACCACATAGTGGTTCACAGCCATCTATTCCCTCTCCTGCCTTCTGGCATGCAAGTGTACATGCAGGTAGAGCACTCATAGACATAAATAAATAAAATCATAAAAACAAACAAACTACTAATGGTACTTGTAACTGAAGAGCAGATGTTTTAGTTAATCAGTTTCACCAGCCTTCCGAGATATGACATTGTTTGATTATTTTAATTTTAAATTAAAATTAAATTTTAAATTCAGTTCAGTTTACCTGTAAACACTTGAGTAATGCTGGTTACAGTGAAATTTCTCTTAAAGATTAGCTTTGAAGTGATTTTTAAGCCCTAATGATGATGGCCTCAGATGTTGGTAGAGTTAATGCCTTGTTTGTTTATATGTTTAGGTCATAGTAATGGGAGCTACCAATCGCCCTCAGGACCTTGACTCTGCTATAATGAGAAGAATGCCTACAAGATTTCATATCAACCAACCTGTAAGTGGTCTTCATTGTATTTTGAAGAGGGAAATAGTTGCTTTCTAATTAGGTTTTTAATCTGTGACTTTTAGGAAGAGTTGTCTTGTTTCTTTGGATTTCTTCATGAAAAAGAAAAGTACAAGAAACTCCTAGTCTCTGCCCTTTCTGACCCCCCCCCCTTTTTTTAATTTTTGTCCTATGATTAGTGCATTTGCTTTCTCCTGAGAATATAAGTACCTCAGAATTGCCTACATGCGTTAGTAGTTTACCTTAGGAAGATACAGAAGAAAATCTAAATTAAAGTTTTGGATTAACACAGAATTAAATTTGGGAACTAGAGGTTAAGGGATCATTGTTTTCACAGAACCTTCAAAGAAGAGCTAATACCAGTACTCTTCAAATTTTTCCACAAAATAGGAACAGAAGGAACATTGCCAACTCTTTCAGTGAGGCCATAGTCACCTTGATACCTAAACCACATAAAGACCCAACAAAGAAAGAGAATTTCCCTTATGAATATTGATACAAAAGTATTCAGTGAAATACTCAAAAAATTATTTTGGCTGCAAGTCTGAATACCTAGCCTGGAAAACAACTGAAACTTATTATTAACATTTTAGGGGGGCTTCTCTCTGATGGATAATGATTTCAGAACCAGTATACTGTGCTATAGCTAATAAAGCTAAAGCCATTCAGCTTTGACTACTTCGTTTGTTTTTTGAGACAAAAGTCTCACTATGCAGCTATTGAACTCTGTGACTTAAACCCACCACAAAGCCCAGGCTGGCCTCAAACTCACGGCAGTCCTCCTGCCTCACTTTCCAGAGTGCTGGCTTAGCTTTTTCTAGGCTTCTTTTTTGTTAAGTACTGTCAAGTAGGTTGTTACAGCTTTAGTTTTTGAAGAAAATCATATAATTCATACAGTTGTGAATTTTTATATTGAAAACAGCTTTTATATTAAAAACACTAGGTTCTCATGGTAGAAAATGTGTTGCATATGAGCAGTATATTATATTTACAAGCCTTCGAGGAATTTAGGTAGTTAGTCCTTTCATAGTTTTGTGGTGAAAATATTCTAACTCCATTTATAATCTTAGCATTTTTAGTCAAACTTCATTGTAATCTTTGGGTAGAAATTATTTATCCCACTTATATTCTGTAAATTAATCAGATTCAGTGGGTGCAGTGAAAATGGTCTCCTAAAGGTTCATAATTGTGGGCTCTGTAAAATTACTCTGATAATAATGTGCTATAGCCAACACTTGGTTCTTCCGAGAATAGGTATATATAATCATTCCGTTTGAAAAGTGCCTGATAAATCAGTGAGGTCTCTTTAATGACCTAGAAGACTAGTAATTCTATTTACTATAACTAATACTTAATTGAGCATTAATGTATGTCAGACACTTGCTGGGCTCCAGTGAACGTAAGAGAGCTCTTGTCCTCAAAGAGCTCTGTGCGGCAGGGGAAGCAGACTCATAAGTAAATAATCTAAAATGTGCTTTAAAGGCATGTATACAGATCTGTGAGAGTCTGAGATAATAATGAAAATTAATTATTCTGTGGAGTTCATGGGATTTCTAGAAACTTTTTGGGCCTTAAAGAATGTAGGAATGAACTAGGGAAATGAGACAATCAAAGCCTTCCTGTCATAATGAGCAAATATAAGAAAGTGTGGAAGGAGTTTTTTTTTTTTTTTTTAATAATTTATTTAATTTTATTTTATGTGCATTGGCGGGAAGGTGTCAGACCACCTGGAACTGGAGTTACAGACAGTTGTGAGCCGCCATGTGGGTGCTGGAACCTTTGGAAGAGCAGACAGCGCTCTTAACCACTGAGCCATCGCTCCAGCCCCGGAAGGAGGTTTTGTAGTTCTTGTAGAGCACTGAAGAAAACAGTGTGGGAAGGTAGACTGCAGCTGTGTTTACATGGACTATGTGTGCTTCACATATGAATTCTCTCAGTTCCAGGCAAAATATTAGACCAACTTAAGGAAAATTTATTTAAATAATCTGAATACCAAGATTAGCGGTCTTTATCAGAAATTCAGTTATAGCACTGGGAGAATGGCTCAGAGGGTAAAGGCACTTGTAACCAAGCCTGATGACCTAGTTTCAGGAACTCAGGTGGTGGAAGGAGAAAGATTACAGAAAGTGGCCATCCACCTTGTCATCTCCCCTGTACTTCTTCCCAAAATAGATTTTTTTAAAAAAAGACTTAAAAAATTAAAAATTGAAATGTATTTCTAAAGACAGCTAAGAGTTTTGATGTGCCTGTTTTATAAAAATAAGGTTGTGGTCATCAAAACTGCCAGTGAAGTACAGTGTGCGTTATCAAAAAAATTATAGCAGGTTTCATCAAATTTGTTAGATTTGTATACTGTTAATGAATAAACTGGAATTTTTCCATTTTTTCATTTTCTGTTAATTTTCCTTAAAGAGTAATTCTTTTTTGTGTTATGTGTAGTGTCAAAGAATATTATTAAGCTTATCTTAAAATTCTTCTCCAACCAACACACTTAACTATAAAGTAGTTGTTGGTGTTAGACACATGAGTTATCATAACAATAGTTTCATTTTGTTTACCAGTGGTTTTATAATGAATTCAAAATATTTTCTTAATGCTAATAAGAATGAATTTATCCATGATGAATTTAAAATCTGTTTTTATGTAAGCTGTTCCTTATTTCATTTATTATTGCTTATTCTATAAAGTATTTCATTTGTTATTATTGCTACTATTACTGTTATTATTGTTGTTATTATTTATTGTTTTAGATAGGTTCTCATATAGCTCAGGGTCCTACCTTCACCTTCCAAGTGCTGGGAGTAGAGGCATTCTCCAGCACAACGAGTTTTAAAAGTTTAGTGTAGTTTCTGCTCTCCGATGTAAAAATATGATGTATCACTGAAGAGAAATCATTAACATTTACATAATATTTACTGATGAGTATTAACGAGCACAGAAATTATTACTAAAGTGGAGAAACCAAGACAGTATCAATCATGTCCTGTAATATTGGTGAAAGTGACACGTTTGAAATGCCATAATGAAACCAGTTGCCTTGTATGCTAATTTTTTGAATAAAATAAAATCTACAATTAAAAATTGACTAAAAGTTGTCAAGATGGTGAACTCTCATAAATTTAATAAAAAAAGGAAAATAATGAAAACTATATGACGCTATAGAAATAGCTGACATAGTAGTACATGCCATTAATCTCAGCATTTGTGAGATAGAGGCAGAAAATACTACAAGCTTGAGTCCAGCCTCGTCTACACACTTAGGTTCCAGACCAGTCAGGCAGACCCTGTGTCAGAAAAAAAAAAAAAAAAAAAAAAAAAAGTGAAACTCTGGGCTGGAGAGATAGCTCAGAGGTTAAGAGCACTGACTGCTCTTCCAAAGGTCCTGAGTTCAATTCCCAGCAACCACATGGTGGCTCACAACCATCTATAGTGAGATCAGGTGTCCTCTTCTGGCATGAAGGTATACATGCAGGCAGAACAATATATACATAATAAGTAAATATTTTTTTTAAAAAAGTGAAACTCTGTGGGAAGACAGTGTTATTTTAAAGTATTCCTTTTTTCACTCAATAAATATTAAGGTTGTATTATTTCCCAGACATGAATAAGAAACAGAATTGATTGGACTACAGATGGTTACCGTAAAGTGTCATGTAATATTTGTTTTAACCTCTGTCATCCTGTCATTTTATATCAGTTATCCTATAATTTCCAAAGGAAAAATAATAGACAAATTGCTCCATTTGTATTGTTTTTAAGTGCTAATTGGAAAATTTCATCGTTTTAGGCTCTAAAACAAAGAGAAGCAATCTTGAAGCTCATCCTGAAAAATGAAAACGTAAGTAGAAAAGTATGATTTATTCTTGTCCTTAAAATATGCTTTTGGTTATAAAGTCATTTTAGAAAGAAATGAAGAAGGAGCCTCAGAATAATGCAGCTTTAAACTTGACCTAAATTATTGTTAAACTGTGCACTGTTAACTCTACAGTATATTTGAAGTAGTTTTTAAAGAGTAATGTGTCTACAGATTAAAATACTGTGATTTTTTTTTTTCACACCATTTTATGCTTGTGTAATACCTCCCTCCCTGGGTTTCTCTATGTAGTGTCTGTCCTGGGCTTGCTTTGTAGGCCAGGCTGGGATGGGACTCACAGAGATCCGCCTGCGTCTGCCTCCTAAATGCTGGAATGAAAGGCGTGTGCCACCAATGCCCAGCTCCAAAAATATTTAGAAACAATGAAGCTTTTCCATTGTTTCTTGTTTTTATTTTATTGCTGTAGTTTGAAAACTGAAGTTACATTTTTATAACTTAAAGAAAGGATAACACAAAGTATGGTGTGCACACGTCCAGTCTTAGCATTCAGGCGGAAGCAGGAGGGCTCTGTGTTCAACACCAGCCTGGATTATACAGTGAGACATAAAAAGAGGTACTACCGTCTATTTTTAGGAGTTTGGTTTTCTTTCTTGTAAAGTATATATTTTTCCCGTTTTTCCTGCAGTGTTGTCTTTCATAAAGGCTGGTACAGCTGCTGTGTTAGATTTGTCCTTTTCCCTGAGTTGGAACCTTTTCCCAGTTTCTTAAGTCTTGTCGGGAAATTTTTCTCTGTTAATGTCTTCTGAGTTTTAAATATAAATTTGAAAGGCTTTTTGTACTCTCAAGTTTTTAAAATAATTCTCTGTATTTCTAAGCTCTTGTTACTTGTTTCCTCTTAAAACTGTTTTATGTACTTGGATAATGTAGTTCTCTCCATACCTAACATGTTGTCTTCACAGGCTTGAACTTAGAGGATTCCTTTGAACCAGCACCAACCCCTATCTCCTGACTTCCATACTTCTTATGTTTTCCTGTCAGATTATATTTGTTAATATTTTAGTTGTTCTGAAAAGAAGATTCTCTTTGTTTCAAAATTTTAACCACATCCCTATTTCATCTAAACAAATTGAAATGATTCATTGTTGTTACTTATTTTTTTTTTT